GTGACAAAATGCACTCGCTTTCCGAACACGCACACACACACAGACAGCCTCTCGACAATATGCGTTTTGCTGGCTGTAGCGTTGCTATAGCGCTGCACAGCAAAAACGCATAAAAAGGCGGAAATTTTGTTCAAAAACAAATAGAATAAATTACGACAAAAGTGCATGTTTTTCGTACTGTACAATACCCGTTTTATCAAAAAGAGTCTTACTGTTCTGTACAGAACGCACAAAAAAGGCATTGAAATAGTAGTGATGGAAGCACAAACAAGAGGTCTTGAAGTCAAAGTTTTGTTTCTTAGCTAACCAGAGCAGATCCTTCGCTCCTGCGCTTTTCAGATTTGTAAGTTTACATTAAAGTTTCAAATCATCGACTTTTCAGATACCGCCACATTCTACGCTGTTTGGAGAGGCTATAGATTTGGCATCCAGAGCCGGGCTTTAAACGCATTCATTTTACGACCTGAAATTATAGGTAGCGCGGTTTCTCATGGCAGTTCTGAACTTTCCAGAAACATTTTACCGAGCAACATAAATCCAGAGATCAGTGCGCAAAAGAAGTACATTTCAAAGCATTCGCTAGTTTCGTTGACGCTGCTGTTCAGAATTAATCGAACACGTTGATGAGGAGTCGGTCAGTAATGGTGGCGGCGGTGATTCACGTCGAGGCATCGTTATCGCCAATTCGTAAGGTGGTGGAGGATCAGCCGGTAAACCACAGCTCCACATATGTGGTATAAAATCTTCCCGGTGAACAATGGTATCTGAAAGAAAGAAAACAGTTGCTGCTAGGAGTATGGAAAAACTTTTTCCAGCAGACATGTATCGGCACAACTCATGGTTTGCAATATTGCTAGTCCAGTAGCATATGCCATGTTTTTCAAAAAACTAAAAGTCAAACTCCCTCCGCATTTGCTGTCCGTGAGGGGCAAAAATACTTTGGAGATAGCGCAAGTGGTAGTAAGTGCCAACAGCAATCATCCTTCGGTTATGTTTTCGATAGCTCTATTTTTCGAGGGTTGCTTACAAGCAAGCATTTGCCAGGGTTTAGCTTCTTTATATATCCCAGTACCAATTTACCATTGAAACAAATGGACGAACCGTTAACGGCACCAGTTTTCTCCCTCTTTCTCTCACTCGCACAACTGCAAAGTGCTGTTAAAAGAAATTCCACACGTTTTAAAAAAGCAATGTACCATGAATTTTTACATCTGTTGCCAAATTTATGCACATGCAGATGTATTCAGCATGTAGCGTGCACCAGACTATTATATCACTTCTTAAATTTGCAACTTGTTTACTGAGGCAAATAACTTAGACTAACTACACTTCTAATACAGAATTATATTCACATTACGCCCTACAGACATATCAACACAGCTACAAATATCGTACTGACGAGGCCCAGTAGTGGTGTTGGATTGGAATGTATATAACTCAAAGGACCGATCGTTCCTGTTCATCTGTTTATTTTTTTGGTTTGATTATTAGTGACAAATGGTGCAACTCAGGAATCGGAAAGCCTGCCACAGTTATGCTCAGAATGTGCGTACACCACAGCAATAACACTAGTAATGAATTCCCACAGGGAGTGTTCGGCCGGGTTTAACAGTTATATTTGACTACTGCTTCAAAGTGAAACTAGGCAAATATTTCGGACGTAGGAAGAGGCAAAATAATGCATTTCAGCAAAACAGGAACCACTAAAGTACACTGTAGTAAGTTTATTCCAGTAGAATGCAGAAGATGAAACGCTTGAAAAGTTTCGAAATAAAAAAACAAACTTCGCATCGTTCGTTCGGCCTCCTCGCGTTCAATTCGTTCAATGCGAGCATTATACAAGCGACATCCGAACGTTAACAAAAATACAGTAAAAAATACACCAATTGTTACTCCTGCTGCTATACCACTACCAATTGTTGTCCTGTCTGAAATACTCGTTATTTGAAAATTTTTTCGTAGGATCCTGCAATAATCGTTTTGTTACGAGGACAGCCTTTCATCTAGAGTTCTTTACTCCCATAATTTCCACATTCCCAGTTAAAATACGATCAGTTTGGTACCAGTCACAACTACTTGATTTCATTGTCTTGTCCACTTGTTAAATAGACCAGGATTCAGTCTTCGTGGCAGATTTTATCATAAGTCACAATTTGAAGTGTAACTTATAATTACTTGGTAATTAAAATTTTATTAAAACAATTTTAAAAAAAATTCACTTCCATAAACTTCATCAATATAATATTTATCCCACGATATCGGCGTCGATATTGGCCAAGCACCTCGGATCTTCGTAGTTGACTGTCCCTTGCACCACGGGCAATTATAGGCATATTCTTTAACTAAACCTGGACTTGCAGGCGTGGTCATATCAAATGCCACTGCCTCTCCTGGAAATTAAACGTTAATACTCTAGGAATGTTAAAATTCAAAAGTACTTGCGTGGCTTGAAAGGACAGGTAGGCGTCTATATTTTACAGGCCTGTCAAAATTATACCTTGTCTAAGCAAGAAGCTTTTAGCACTTGCTGCTTTGATGTAGTCAAGCCCTGTTGAGAAAATAAAGCCCTTTATTCATCATAATGCAAATTTGTGCAGTATGTGTTTAATCTGGCGCACTAAAAAAATCAAGCAGACAAATCCCCCTTCTGATTCACCCTTTATAAGTCGCAAAGAAACTCGGAAAGTAGCCTGAGTGGTTAACAATTATCAACAGCAACCACCCTTGACGAGACTATTGGCTGTCCCCTTTTCCGAGAGTTGCTTACAAGTAAACTGATGGTAGGTTACACTTGTTGGCAAATGCCAGCACCAATTTAGCATCGAAACCAATGAACGAGTCGTCGGGAGATTGGATGTCGTGAGCCGGCGTCGTTGAACCCCTCGCTGTACTGTACAATAATGTTACTTCCCACTGCAAGATGCCCGCCAGCATATGTTATTAAACTTATTAAACTTAATGAGAGTTTTTATCTCCGGGAACACTTTTGCAAAAGAAACTGATTGGCAAACTGATTACTTGAAAATAAAACAACCAATAATGTTAAAAAATAGTCGTCTGTTTTCCAGGACCATTGCAGCTGGAACATGCGTCCGATAATTTCACAAATTATTTGTATCCAGCAGCAGCAGTAGTGGTATTATTTGCAGCAGCAGCAGTAGTAGTAGTAAAACGCCTGAAAAATGACTGCGGCAACAGAATTGGCAGTGGTAGTCGTAGTAGTAGCAGCAGCAGAAATGCTAATAACAGGTAACAACGAGGTCGTCCTTGAAAAAGCAATGCTTCTCTGTAGTGTGCTCTAGAAAATGCTACCCGCTTTCTCTTCATACACTTAAACAGTCTGATACTTTTCATTTTCTTTACAAATTTTTCTTTCGTTTTTTTTTAGACAAATTTGTAAATGTAAAAACAGTAGTTATGCACGTCAAAGCGTTACTGTCCCTCTGTGCTTTGGCAGCATCGGAACTTTACTACACATGTACTTCACAAGTGCCGCCCATATAAAGTACACAGTACAAAAATTATTGTGCGCTGGGGCTATGTTGTCGTTATTTCGTACAGTTAACATTTCCAAGGGATGAAATCTGGAAGAAGTTCTTAAGGATAGTTTTGAAAAATGAACTGATCACTTACAACAAAACAAAAAGTTTGCCAGTCAGATGCTCGGATAAAGAAAGTATCAAAATACATTAAATAAGTGGCTCGTACCATGTTAGCTGGTGCGATCATGCGTTTCGCGCACTTCCTTCCATT